GCTCAGGGAAGTAGGCATAGTCTGAGATGCTGCCTTTCCAAGGCTTGGTATCTATCTACTAGCAAAGGACATGCAGAATAAGGGGAAAAAAAGCTATTTACAACTTCATGCAGTTACTTTACCTCTATTCTTCTCAAGTCTCAAGGAGCACGAGGATCTGGCTAATAAAAAGGAAACCTTGGAAACCTCCTTTCTTCAGTGAAAGAAATGTTGTTTCAAAAAGCTGTTGTCCAGGGTATTGAAGAAACTCAAGCAGCATTTACAGACACTCCCACATACACTTGCAACCTAAAAGAGCAGTCCTGTAACTGATGTTTGTATGCTCAGACATTCATACAAGGGTGAGTCAATCCAACACCAAAAGGAAAAAAAAAACCACGCTATAGTATTTACAAAAATGCCTTCACAGCAGTTTAGCTCCACAGCTTAGCTGGCAGGAAGATGTGACTGAGGAACATGATGTGCTTTCCACAATCTGACTTGGCTTTTGTCTCCACATAACTCTGTTTCAGAAGAGACTATCCTGAGTTGGAAGGAACCCATGAGGGTCTTCAAAGTTTTGCTCCTGACAGTGTCCCACCCCCTGATACACTGATGCTAGCCATGTGCAGTTGCCTTGTTCTGGAACACTGCCTCCCTCACAGCACCCTGAAGGTATTTTATTTCACTGGGCTTAAGATAATAAAGCATTTGTTGTTCTTCACTGTAACCATGTATTTTTTTAGAGCTTAGTTTACCGGGCCAGTCAGGTCATGCTTAGGGCTACAAAATAATCCAATAAACTACAAAAGGAAGAGCCCACTTCACAATCATACCCCATCTTTGTCACAACCCACTTCTGAGAAAGCTGAAGGTTTACCTCCTCCATCCCAGCCCTTGCTGAGGGCTCAAGTCCTTTAATCTTTCCCTTATTCTGAGACCCTCCAACCCTCCTTCAAATCCACCCCGCATATTCCCACCCAGTGCCACAGTCTGCCCTGTGTGCCCAGCAAACCCCACTGTGCCACAGCCTCTGCAGCCTCCCCACTTCCTTGCACAGGGGCTAAAACAATTGCCATGCAACTCATGAACCCCAACATCTAACCACCACTGCTTCTGGGATGCAATCTGCTTCCTAAAGCCTCATCAGACCGACTGTCAGCCCTTGGGCTCCTGTCAGGAAAACCAAACTACCACCCCTCTTCTGACAGCAGCACATCAGTGGCTTGTTTCGTTCAGACCGTGTTCACCTCGGCTCTAGCTCTCGGTCCTCATAGTGATAAAGCTTTCCCCAGGAACTTACACTCACATAAATTCAACCTGGTTTATTCCAAATATCACATAAATTAAACACATTTCCCATGAATATTGCAAATACACATGAAATGAACACTGCAATTTTTAAAAAAAGTTTTGGCTTTGTTTATGCAACAAGAAGTGCCAAATGTGGTTAGAACATGAACTTCTCCTGTATTTACTAGATACAAAAAGGTGCAGATTAATAATTTATATTTATACATATGTACACACTCCATTTCATTTCTAGCTTTAAAACAGTAAAAAATGGTTTCAAGTTTATCTACATTAAACATACTCATTTACATCTGGTCAGAAGCCCCAGATAAGAGTTGATACAATCATTTCACAACTGCAAAATTAAGGCGCTACCAAAATACCAGTTCCACTAGTGTAAAATGTAACAGGAATAGAGTGTACAGCTTTCTATTTATCAATTTAAAAGTGGACTGGAGAAGAAGGAAAAAGGAGCAGTAAGAAACATGACAAGTTCTACAGGTTAGAAGTACAAAGAGATCTCGATGACTATCAAATGAACATATTAAAATACAGTAGATAAAAGGCCTCAGTGGCAAACAATTAGTATGCTTCTGAAAGACAAAAAAGGTTAAAATATATATATATATATAATTTTGTAGCTTGAAATTTTACAGGTGAACAACAGGTGTAGAGGTAGAGGGATTTTTTTTTTTTCTTTTTGGCCTCTTTACGATGTATAAAGAAGGGCCACATTCACCACAGTGAAAAGACTCATCATATATCCCAGCATCCTTGCTTGGACAGCAAGCAAGAAAAGTGTAATGAGCTAGAAAGGCAACAAATCCTGTCTATCTCTTCCAGGAGCTCAGCTCCAATGCTTCCACATGTACCTTGGCAACAAGTTACACCTAAGCACAGACTGGCTGTAACGTGGACATTTCCTCTAGAGAGCAACGAGACAGCTTTTCCCATGAGGTACTACTGGATGCTGCAGATATTATATGGCAGAGGTGATTTGGTAAAAATGAAACTGGTACTTCCCCTTAAAAAGCAAGTACCACAGGGCAGTGGTGATTTTATCTATTTATTAAAGCTTTGCTATTTGATCAGCATTCAATGTTTTGGAAGAAATGTCAGCTTTGGGCTGCTAATATTATTATTTGCATCCATACACAGACAATTCCTTTGTTGTTATCCTTTATCCAAAACATCAGCCACTGAAATATTCACAAACTGCTTTAAACCTTGACTAAAAAAAAATCCCTCTACAGTTCAGCTTTCTTTTCAATAACAATCACTCTATTAACTATGCAGGCCTTCATGAACACAGTAATGTCATTTCCCATGTAGAATGTCTTTACACATTACAGAACAGCAGTAAACAACCTCTCATTTCATAGGGTTTTCTGTCAGAAGTACCTCAAAAGTAGATATCTTGAAAAAATCACTTTTGCAGAGAAGAATATTAACATTAACATTTACTGAGGCAAAGCCAAGAAGACACTAACTAGCACCTTGATTTTTTTTTTTTTCTTAAATGCACTCCTATCTGTAAAATTAAGCACATATAAGATCAGGGACCAGCAATATACAAATACCATCAGCATCCTCTTCCAGCTAAACTAGTAACACTCAAAACTAGGCCAGACACACAAACAAGCAAGATTAATGAGTCTTGAAGAAATACACAGCATGGAAAGGAAGGGGAAGAACAGGAAGCTTAACAGAAAGGATTGCGAGATCAAATACAGTCCATCTTCTGGTCCAAGAATTAGTTTGTGAAATCACCCTTCAGTAGCTCAGCTGACAGTTGGCTGAAGACCTACTGACTTCTGACATTTCCTCCCCACAAATACAACAATTCCTTATACTTCAGTGAATTCCTCTTCATCATCTTCAAATCCTGGAGGAAATGCATTCAACTTGAATTTTGAGTATTTTGGTGGTGGTAGCAGAACTTGCAGAAGGCTACTGTAGAGGTTATGACATCATTGGTTGTACATTATGCACTTCACAATTCAGAGAATACACTTACAAACCACTTAAATAGAAAAGGCGTGTTCAAGGTAGAGGCAGTTACAGTACATTCAGGGTATGTTACAGAAACCATTTGTGGTAGCCATTTGCTGAAAGGAAAAAAAACGGAATTTTTGTTTCCCAGACCACAGAGGTTATAACTACAATACCCAAAGAGAGCAGGTAATATATCCCAATCACTGCATTTTAATGCAGTTTTCTTCCAGAATTCATGTACAAAGTGGAAAAAAAAAAGTTTAAATACCTCTTCATTGACAAATAAGGACAAAAGAACTAAAAAAGAAACCAGGCACTTTGACCATTTAGGTAAGCAGCCATTTCTTCTTACCGGACTTCTGCACATGAACAAGTCTTTACATTGGTCTTGCTATGCTTGCAGCACATGGAGATTCAAGTCAACTTTTTTTCCCCGTTGGTAGTATCAGTTCTAGTTATACGAAACTATGCCAATTGAATTGGTAACACTGAGTTATTTCATTGGCAGTTGAGCATATGTTGATCATTTGACTGACAAGCGATCAATTAAACAGCTATCAAAGTTAGATATTAACAAAACAATACATAAAAAAATAATCAAAGAGACAAATGAAGTTTAACACCTGACTGAAGCTTGCATTGAGACGTGCCTTTATAGGTTCGGTTTGTGACTCCTTTCATGGTGTCACTGTGGGCTGATTTCCATCACATACAGCAACTGGTACTAAACTACAATACTTTCGGTTTGAAACACGTTCAGTAGAGACCACCCCAATGTAACAGGAGGTCAGCATGACACTGCAGGAAGGAGAGAGATGGAAAGCTCCCCACTTTTCATCATCGCTGGTTCCACTGGCAGAGCAGGTGTTCAGAGTAAACTGCAGCATGCCTCCCTCGTACTTGGGGTGAAATCATTATTTCACAGCAGTGTTTATTATACTTTAGTGAGTGGCTAGGTTTGAATTTAGCAGTAAGACTGGCTAGGATTACTTTGGGTTTTCTCTTCAAAGAAACCTAAGTATGTATTTCCAAACATTTTGTATATACTTATTCTGCTACAACATGTAAATCACAAAGGAGGGATTACCTAAGGCTACCAAATAGTGTGCTTATTCAGTAGCTATTATTCTTTCAGATAAACATCCTCAGATGCCTTGACTACAAACGGCTTAACCTGTTTTTTCCCCTCAAACTGTTATTTGCTGAAGAGAGAGAGAGAGAGAGTGAGAGATGTGGGTGTATGACAGACTGCCTTTCAATTCACTAACAGAGAGTACTGTTGGTTATAGTCCTTGTGCATACTTCTGCTGGGCAGCATAACTCCTCTTCTGTTCACTACCTTCAAGAAAGTCTAGGAAACACCTCTTCAATCCACTGTCCAGTTTCCTCTTCCTACTGAGTGAAAATTCAGATCACATGCAGGCCAATGGCACTACTCTAGTACTTAACTCTCTTGGCTAGAAACATCAATTCTATCAAAGTACTTTGAAGCAATTATCCACATCCATCAGCTACATTCTAAATGTAGCACAGCTCTGCAGAGGCTCCATTTTCACCAGGACAACAGGAGAGTGTGCAAGGTTTGGTGAATACCCAGGTAACAAACCGATGCAATCGATGGATGCAGGACGCAGTCAGAAAGGGCTGTTCCTTCTTGAAGGAATCTTTAAAAAATACAAAAAACAACCCCTCCCCTTTTGCCCTCCCCCAGAACAACCTGTCATGAGGTGTTTTTGGTGCCCACTCACAACACAAGTCCATGTTATCTGGGTCTTTTGCGAGTCACAAATATCAATACGCGCCGGATGGCGATGAGACGATCCTTCAGGGAGGTCATAGCCAGTATAGCCAGCTGAGCTCTGTTTTCCAGAGGCAACACTGCCAAGAGCCACCAGTACCAGGCAGGACCACTGGGGTTGCTCTGCAAAAGGATGGAAAAACATGCAGTTATGTATTCACCAGCCCAGCCCCACAAAGAACATCACCCTCCTTCTCACCTTCTATTTGCTAAGAAAGTCACCACAAAACAAGCAACAAGAGAACACTTCATTGCAGGTGTTCTCTTTATCTGTATACACCATTAAGATTTATCTCTTCAGCTACCAAATTACACAGGTATATTGTTTACCACGCTTCATGCCAACAGACCAAAATTGAGTAAATAAGAGTCTAGAATGTATAAACCACAGCAACAACCTGTCAGAAAAGAGTCTAGTGTTAAAATTCTGTCTACAGTAAGGCTGCATAAGTAGGCAGGTTTTATTACCTGTGGCTCTGGTTCTTTTCCTGGCATAGATCCAAAATGATTGAGAATTTGCACTTTCATATTGTCTTTAAGTGAAGTGAACCAGGCAACAGCTTGATCATAGACTGAATCATGAAGGCGGACAAGTTCTTCATATTCTGGTCCTTCAACCTTATTGTTAAAAGAAGGGAGATGGAACAAAACAGGTTTGATACCGTGGAGTCCACATGCTTCCCCAGAAGCAAACGAAGCAAAATAATGCAGTGACTACAGCTGTTCAAATGTCCTTATGTAAACCAACTGTGCCTAAGTCTCAGATTTCAAACCTGTGATGCTGGAGTCTTTTTACCCTCCCCTAGGTGTCCTGAAGTGATATTTCTTGGAGCAGTAACTGCCTCACTAGTATCCATTCCTAAATGCTGGCATAATAGAAGAATATGCTCTCTAATCCTGGGACATATTTATAATCTCAAACCCACAACCTCAAGTCCCTGTCACAGAATGACCTCTGGACAGTGGTACATCATCTGGCAAAACAAAACAAACACTACTGCCACCGAGCACAGAGACGGGGGGGCTACAGCACTTAAGAGACCAGCACTATTTTATAGAAGTGGTAAGGCCATGGTAGGACAGCCAAGGAGAAGGAGGAGGGTAGACACCTGAGCAGGCAGGAAGCAGGGAAAGCGATGCTTTCCCAATACCAGAAACAATCATGAAGAAACACCCTTATTGAAGCAGAGTGTTTTAGTTGCACAGGCCTACTATTAGCTATTAGGGAAAAAAAAAAAAGCATAAGCAAAAACCACTACAAATTGGTGATTTGTGGGGTTTTTTGGGGGTTTTGATTCTGGATTTTTTGGGGTTTTTTTTTTCCCCTTTAACATGTGCACATCACATAGGTGATTTCACCTATGCTACCCACTCAGGTACACATCTGATCCACCTGCTCTAGATGCCCTTCACAATCAAGGAGAAGCAGTTCTAGAGAACAATTAATCTCATCTTAAGATAAGTATCTAAGAGCATATAAAACAGGTAGCTTTGGACTGAGATTTTTGACCATCAGACATGTGGATGTAGGGCATTGAACAGACACCAGTCTCCACTGTGAGACAAGGTGAATCTCACTCTAATTATGAAGAGGTGGATCTCTGGCACCATCTATAAACAATGCCTGTATACCTGAGTTCCACTACTCTTCACTAGGGATTTAAACAGAGCACAACCCTCACTCTGAACTGATTGCCTATTCCAGCCTTTCACAGGCAGAGGCACCTCCATGAGCTCAACCTTTCCTGTCCTGGCAAACAACTGCATCACCCTACTCAGGTTAGAAAAGCACTGCTAAGGCTTTACAGACTTTCACTTCAACTGTGAGAGTACTCTAGAGCTGTATGACAGAACTGACTTCACCAATCAGCAGGAGATTACTGCTAAGCTCCATGTTAACAGCTACCAAGGTTTTACAGACACAGCCTAAAGATGATCCAGAAAGCATGGCCAAAAATTCAACTTTTTGTCAACACCCATCACAAACACCTGCCTTGATGCAGCTTTGCTAAGAGGACTTGTTTTTAAAATCTACTTTCCTCTCTGCATTTCTGTTCTCAGTCAGCTCTAATGGATGCTTGTACAGGGCATGGTTAACTACGTGTCCCTAAGAACTCATTTTAAGAGCAGATTCCCACATTTATCTGAGGACCTGTTCCGTAAATGAGAACTTGGAGGACATATGAAGTGTGCCAACTGTCTATTCAGTGCAAGAGAACACTCAGTTCTCTACCAACGGGAGCATGTGCTTTTAGAAGGCTTTAAATTCTGTACCAGTTTTAAAATGTTACTCTGACCTCACCTACACACCATGACCTCAGCATCCTAGAAGCTACTTTGAGATCCATGAAAAGAGTGTAACACTTTAAGCAGAGATAATTATAAGGGAAAAAAGGAAGAAAGGGAAAGAAGATACAAAGTTTGTTCCACGGTTTTTAAAACAGAGCTTTAGTGAATTTGTAATGATATTGGCTTAAAATAATGCACAGCTAGCTTGAAATGCAACAAGGAAAGGCTATTTAAGTGAATCCAGCAATACATGGGTATGAATAACTTTGCACCATAGATCACCTTTTTATCTTCAAGATACTCGATGTTTGCTGTGTTATATCCATCTCGCTGGCCATGGCTTAAGACCCTAAAACGACGGACACCAACTGTATCAACAACTGAGCGTCCATCAGGAAAAAACTTTACGTCCCTGATCTCTAATATACAGCCATGATCTGCAAATCTGAAATGACAGAAGGGCATAAAAGTGGAAGTCATCAACAAGTGTTTATAGACATCAGGACAAATACTGGGCCTAATTCACCATTTCTTAGTTGAAAGAGGACTCTGCTTTGGTGACAATACATTTCTGCTTATTCACATAAGCCACACAACCCCCACCCTTTCTGCCTTCCCTCAGAGGACCTGGGCAGCAGCATTTTCAGGGCAGGTTTATGGGGTGAGAGGGCTGGAAAGGGACAGGAAACTAAATGAAGCATGTTTCATGCTGGGAATTGCCAGCTGCTGGTGGCAAATTCATCTGGTTTGCAAAGAAAACAAGATGGGTAAAGATACCGTGAGGAAAGTACAGAAAGTGAGGAACAAATGCATGGCTGTGAGGGCTATCCCCCTACTCCAAGGTGTAAACAGAAGACTACAGGCTTTAGAAGAAAAATGTTTTCCATATAACAAGTCTTTTCTTGCATTTGTTTCCTTTAAAAAAAAGTCAAATCAAACTCAAAATACCCTCTTCAAAAAACACTTTTCCATCCACTATATTTAAAGTAGTAGTGTGTTTTAATCACACCCTGGAAACAGGCACGAAATTAACTTTTACTTTATCAAGCTTACCTAACTCTACCTTAGTGGTGCAGTGATTTCACTAGAGAGGCTGATTGCACAATGACTCTTCACCACAATACATTTGCACATCTACAACTCAGCCTACTGTTAAGCAGGAGAAAGCACTGTATCTAGTCTCAATCTCAAGATACCAAACCACAGGGTCTGATAAATTCTTCATCATGGAAATGCTTGTTTTACTAGGGCTTGGTCATTTCTTACAATGGAGTGATGAAGAAATGACTCCTGTTTCTGGTCTACCAGAAATCATGGGTTTGGGAGGGGTGGGGAACAACTGTTCTCTCCCAGCCAGTGTACAGGAAAAAATCAGGAAGAGCAGGAGGAGCAGAGCTGCACACAGCTAAGTCCTGGTGCTCTACCAACAGAACTGATTAATAAAAGCAAGTCTGTTAGTTTGTTACAGCAATATTACACTATACACTATTTAAACAGCTACATAACTATTGTTTTTAATTAACGATTTTAGTGACATTCATACTGGATCTTGAAATTAATACAGAAGTGATGATTTTGTCTTTTTTGTCCTTAGAGGAGTTACTTTTGGGTAGACAGGGACCTGAATCAGAGAGACAAGAAAGCACCTGGAGACAGGCATAAAATGTGCTGACAACATTAAGAGCTTATATTCTTTTACCAATTATAAGTTAAAATGGAGACGTAAACCAGAGGAAGGTAATGAACTAAACATGCTCTGTCACTGTGTTTTTAAAGGGAGGTATGTAGCCATGTCTCAGCAGATGAGGCAAAACAAGTTTCCCTGCTTCTTGTATTCCCAAGTTGATTTTGCAATTTTGAATAAACAGAAGAACTTCTTTACTTGTGTAAGAAGCTGGAACAGCCTGGCAGGTGTCTGCAGATTAAGGTTTCCTGCACTTCAGTGGTTTATTTAAGTCATCGAGCTCAAAAAGTTTAATTATTTCAGTAACTCAAAACAGACATGACTTAGAAATCTAACCATACTGTTCATTTTAAAATACCCTTCATGATGCTATTTAACAAACCAATTATTGTGTTTTGGGGATTGTAATGCCATGGCTCTCTGTATTATTATACCTGATTCCAAATAAATTTGGCTCTTCCACAAGCCTGCAGGGATGTAAGGAGAGTTATCACCGAAGTCCTAGGGTAATTCTGTCCTCACTCTCCCAAGTATTCGCTTCCAGAAAATTGGTAATAGACCTGAAAAGGCCTGTGGAACATCAGCTGCTGCTGGAGTCTGAACTCCACTGAGTGCAGTACTGAGAGCATGCCAAATGGCATTGCAGCACAGCCACGGCTAACTGGAAGCTGCAGCATCTCCTGTACTCTTACAGCTACCTTACTGTCCAGTCTGGGAGAAAAATAAAATTTCCCTCCCCCCAAGAAGCATGGAGTGGACAAGGAAAGGCTGCCACGCCTCAGTAATGATTGACCCCTTCTCAGCTCCAGTGATGATCACATACAAAAATGCTGTTCCTGAGGATGTCTGTCTAATGTGTTCTTAAAAATTCCCATGTTCATGATCCATTCTACAGCCTACCAATGTAGCTTATGAAGTCAGCAACTATTGCATCTCATAAGGCAAACCTCTCAAGATCACCTCATGCTTCTCCCATGAGCATGGTCTCAAAACCCCATTATCTGTAAACATTTAAACTTGAAGGCTTTAGTAGAATCAGAGGATAGTTTTGTTTTGTAAGGGAGCTTTAATCTAGTCAGTCTCTGCATAGGGAGCTGGAACACATCAGTGTCAGAATTCACAAAAATGAATGAAAGGTATGATCATATAGAAAGACAATGTAACCCACTCACTGCAGATAGTTTAGACATTGCAACACAGCAGTAAAGACAAACATTCAAATTCAACATCCAGCAGCAAAACAGACTTCTCAGCCAAGTGTATACTTTGTCTCATTAAAATGATACCACTCTTTCAAGAAAGCTATGGGAGGTCTGAATGTTTTGTCTTATTTTTGTTTTGCCTTTTTTTAAACTGAGTAGACAGAGGGGGAACCTTACCCAGACAGTCAGTTTTCACTGGAACAAACAGGCCAGCAAGCTTTCCAAACACGCAGCCAATTAAATGCTATTTTTGGAGCCTGTAGTAACAGGATGAGTTGCATTCTTGCTATTAACCAACAGGAGAGTAATAAAAGTACTTCTTTGTGTAAAAAGGAATGTTTAAAGTTCAAAACTAAGAAGTAAGCAACTTTAGTATTGGTTCATACAGGACTGGAAGGAACCACAGTGGTTTGGGGAGACAAGTATACTGTGCTGCAGTATTCCATTAGCTCACAGCAGCCTCTGCAACAACAGGACATTCTCAGCTCATCTCCTTACCCTTTTAATTCATCAGCTAAGCACATGCCAAACTGCTTGGTACCAGTTTCCATGCATCTTCTTATCATTAGGCGATAGCGAGGTTCAAAGACATGGAGTGGACAAGGGATGGTAGGAAAGGCCATGGTACATACGAAGATGGGCACATCCTTATTCAAACTGTAAGAAAATTGTTAAAAAAAAAAAATCACTTTTCTGGGTGCTGCTATATTCAGCATATATCCTTAATAGAAGACAAATGGCTTCCTTAGACTCAATCTTTCTAAATGCCTATCTCTTTGAGGTTTGCCATTTTCACAAGACAAACAATATTTCAGGACACTTTTCCTTAATACATTAAGTAAACAATCCCTCTAACCTACTTCCATAAAGGAAAAAAGTCAAGAAATAGCCAATTTCCCAAAAACATGCACAGTGATACATCTTATACACATGGCAAGATTTTGCTGACAACTTTTCACAGTAATAAAGTACTTAAGACCCAGTCATGTTCAAAGCAAGATGGCAGAGAAGCCCCAAACTCAGTAAACCCCTTTGATTTCAAAGCCATTAATCCACTTAATTTTTTTCAGGATTAACTGCATGTTTTGTTTTACTTTTTAGCTGAGTTATAGCACAACATCCGCAAGTCACTGACAAAACTGGATCCTTGAACTTTTCCTGACCTGAAGTATAACCCATTGATAATTTGAATTCTACTGCCAGAAAACCCCCACTGTGACTTCTAAAGCTGTATGTTGTTTCATAGGAAAGAGCAATTATCTTTATTTTAAGAATATTGTTTTGCCTCTCCACCATCCAAGCACATTGTTACTTGTTTATCTGCATTATACACAGCAAAAATACAAAACATCTGGCAGGTTCATTTACAAATTCATTCCTTTGGTGCATTTTCATAAGCAAATTAATCTTCTTCAGTAATTTAGACTGAAGAATACATTTTTGTAACAGCTGTCAGTAGTATAAAGAGAGCCTACTTTGACAATTCCTTCATTTCTTCATCATAAACTTTCTTCCTTTCAGATAATTCCTCTGGCAAGTAACGGACTATCAGCTCTTCTGTAAGGACGGTCTTCTTGTAAGTTCTGCTTGCCAGAAACTACAAGGAACAGTCAACTCTTAAGTCTGGTAACAAGAAAACAAGTAACATCTCTTCCTCCCAAGCCCATTCTTCCCTGAGGCCCAAGTGCACATTAGTTAGGACCGTACAGATTCCTTACCCTTTTAAGCTTCCAGGCACCAAAGCTTCCACTTCAGCCTATGTGGTTCACCCCACTGTCCTTTTAACCCCATCCCCTTTTTTTGGAAAAGTTGTACTGGCAGGAAGAAAAGGCAGTCCATCCTCACTTTTGCAAAGATACATGCATCTTTTTCATCTACAGCTGTCAGCTTACTGGCAAGAAGCACTGTGTATGGGATACCTTATGTCTGCTGCTAATAAGTGTTGACCAAGGGGCAACCATTCCTCATGTACCACAGTTTCCACACAAACTGGAAATTTGGTATGAACATGGCTATGGAGGGGTTCCCTAGGCATGAGCCTGATGTGATACCAGAAGCCTCCATTTTTTTAAGAACCAGCTAAACCACCTGTATTCCAATGAATGCCAAATATACCCTTGAGTAAATGAGGTCTGTGCACAGCTTGATGTTGTCGGTACTGTCTTGTTCTGCTTTCAAGGAATCATAGAAGTTTGGGTTGAAAAGGTTCTTTAAATGTCATCTAATCCAACCCCTTCAGTGAGCAGGGACATTTTCAAACGGATCAGATTGCTCAGAGCCCCCCATCCATTGCTCAGAGTCCCCCATCCAACGTGACCTGTAATGTTTCCAGCAATGGACAATCTGCCAACTCCCTGGGCAACCTCTTCCAGTGTTTCATCACCCTCCTGGTAAAAAATTTCTTACTTACATCTAATCTCTTTAAATCAACTCTCTTTCACTTTAAAAGCATTGGCCCTCTACTAAAATGCCTGTCCCTATCTTTTTATAAACCCCCTTGAGGTACTGTAAGGCCAAGAGCTGGTCTTCCCAGAGCCTTCTCCTCACCAGGCTGAACAACCACAACTCTCAGCATTTCTTCACAGGAGAGGTGCTCCAGCCCCAGACCACATTCATGGCCCTTCTCTGGACTTGCTGCCCCCCTGTGCTGGGGACCCAGAGCTGGGTGCAACATTCCAGGTGGGTCTCACCAGAGAGGAGTAGAAGGACAGATCCCGTCCCCCACCCTGCTGGCCACACTGCTTTGGATGCAACTCACAAGTAGAGCATAGAAAATCTCCACATAGATGTTTTCAGAAGAACACAAGTTTGTGCAGTTTAATTGGGGCAAGGACATACTTACTTCTGACAGCTTTTCCTTGCAGAGTGGGCAGAGTGGATTATGGTCAAGGCAACGCTCAAGGCATTTGAGGCAAAAGGTGTGTCCACAGGGTGTGGTAACAGGTTCGAAGAACAACCTTAACATGAAAACATCAAACAGAAAAGCTAAGCTGCCAACAAAAACAATTCCCAATGTGTGGGAGGAAAGAGTCCTAACTCTTTCTTTCTTTTCTGCTTTTGTATAAAGCACAGGTGACAGGCATTATCCAACGATACAAAAGAGGTTTTCCTTTTTACAAGTGGTAAACAATGGAGAACTGCATACATAATGGAAAAAAACCACATCTGTAAAGATTCACCAGATGTAAGGTTCAGCAAAAAGGAACAGAATAATGACTTTGACATTCTCTGGCAGGTTTCTCTTCTTACACCATGGTAACTTTTTTCAGAAGCTAGAGAGGCTTTGTTATGTTAATGCCAGGTCAACACAGTCATACCTCATACAGAGGGAACACTCAAAGTCGGACGCATCCACCAGAGTCGTCGGTATTTCACTTGAAGTGTCAGTGGTGTTTTCAGGTAAAACATCTCCATCTAAGTAGTCAAGAAGATTATCTTAGTAAAGTCATAAGCATTATTGCATTTTCCAATGCTCTTTGCATAACTCTTCCATAAAAAAACTGATTTGTGTCTTTTCTTTTCTGAAGTTTTGTTTCTAACAAACATACCTCCCATCTAAGTTTTAGATTTTTTGGCAGGAGATCTTTTGGAGAGCAGAGGATGACGTCTGTGGCCAGAGAATACACTTTAGAGCTGAATACCCATTATTTGCTTCTCCAAAAATGATTGTTCTGTGGGTTTTTCTAGGCTAGTTTTTAAAATATTCTGCTATTGCTTTCCCATCACCACCCTCACATCAGCCAGGCCAGATGTTTTTAAGTACATTAGGTCCAGAATTTAATTTGTTTACACACAGTCAAAATATTTCATCACTGCTTATTATAGATTTCTCAGCAGGGGTAATTTTTCTTACAAATATAAAAAGGCTTACATTTTTCTAGACTAGGCTGTTCTAGAAATCCCAAATTTCAGACAGCTTAAAAGTTTAAAGGACTACTGGAGCTGCATTAGCTAACACAGCTTTTACTAGCTCAACAATCTGCAAACAGAGAGGCAAAACACTTCACTTAAAATTCTACCCAGATTGATTTTTGGGGGTGGTTTATATCTCTGGGTTAAACTCACTTTAAGGGTATGCACTTCAGACTTCACAGCAGCATTATTTAGGCTCAAAAGCTATCAGCTCCGGCTTCTGTTGACATTTACACAAGCAAATCCTGGAACTTCTTTTACAATTTGCATCTTTGTGATGAGTTGCAAAAGAGCTGTGACTGCTGCCTCCACATGTTTTTTATTAACCAAATTCTTCATCATTTAAAAGCCCTGTTTTTTCTGTTAAGTTAAAATACTAGGATGCTTTGTTAAAGAGTAACTTATGCTCAGCATCTGGTTTATCTCCAGCACAGACAGGATAGGTGGTGTGTGGCCTACAAAGAAAAACAGTGCTATCTTTAACCTACATCTCACATGTTAGCATTTAGTAATTGCAAGGACCTGGCTGAGTTAATTCTGCAAATAGTAACATGGCACTGGGACCTAGAACACACCAGAAATTAGTGCTTATGGGTAAAACACGATCTCTGGCCTTCCCTGTGAAGATACAGGTGGGTCAGATTTCACAATCTATTTACTGAGTCTGCAGTTCACAGGCAAGTACAGGGGTTTTTTTCCTCCATAGCAACATGATCAGGAACTGGCCATATATATGTATCTTTTGTAGAGGTCAAAGACAGACAGCTGTACTAGAAGACTTGCAAGGAACAAGTCAAACTCCTGGAGGTGTGGGTTGGTTTTTTTTTTTCTTTAGGGGAAAAAATTCACACCAGCACAGCAACATTTTCAAAGTCTATGTTAACCAATTATTACACTACTCAGTAAAGTATTGCCTTCAGCATTTAAAGCCACTCTGTAGGTCTTTGTTAGAAGCTTGAGAAGCATAACAAGCAAGAAGCAAATTGTAAGCACAGCTATCAAGTAACAGAAAACTGGGGAGTGGGGGCTTAGTACCCTTGAAAAGGCTTCTTTGTTTGCTTGGAATATTTCATATAAAGTTGCATGTGACCACTTCTAATGCCAGTTAAAGATTAGTTTCTGGGCTTACTTCATCTTTCAATCATATAGAAAGACAATGAAGTTCAGCTATATCTGAGACCTAGAAAATGGAAATGGCACCACCAACATGAAGACTAAGTGAAAGTGGATTACACACACATTACACCGGAAATAGCCCATTTGAGAAAGAAAAATACAGTTTTCAGTCAGTGAACTTAAACTGCTCTGGAATAAGTTAAATAGGTTGTTAGAGCAGAAATAGATACACCAGAGAACAAAATATTACCCCAATTCCTGTAGGGAATGTTTTATTGACCCCTATAAAAAGGGAGGAGTAAAAAGTTTACAGTTTTTCAGTATGTGCAAGAGAAATCACTTTTCTAAGCCATAACACAAACCTTTTTTAAGAATCTTATTGGGGACATCCAAACTCTGCAAATCCCTCATATCACTGGACAGCTTTCTTTTTAAGCCAACCCCAGGTAAACTGGAGAGAATAGCTCCCAAAGACTTCTTGTTGTCATCAAAGTAGAGATCCAGAACATGATGGGTAACAGAAGAATCAGTGCTTCTGAATACATCGGACTCTTGGGACGGGGTTTTTGTTAACCTGAACATAGTATCCTAGAAAATAAGAAGTTATATACAGCATGAGACAATTTTGGTTTGCTTTTATCTATTAGTTTTATCAGCAATAGATCAATGTTCCCACAAGGAGCCTAGCAATGGAGAAAGGTCTGTATCAGAGGTCACTTCCCAATTGCATGAAGTAAGGCCATATCTCTCCCTACAGCTCCTGTCTCTGGGAATTATGTTCCTGTCATACTAAAATCTTCAGTAAAAAAAACCACTAACACAACTGACCCCCACATGAAGGCATCACATTGTTTTCTGAAGAAAAAGGTTCACTCTTATTTTTTTGAGGAAGTACATCCCAATAAGAGATCCAACAGCAATGGAGAGAACAGGCTTATCATTAAAGTAAGTGCCTACTCAGGTGCAGACAAAGACAATGGCACACAAATCAGAAAGATCCATATACTATTTTTGGTATTTTTATGTTGAACACTTTTTGCTTTACCTTTGAGGACCCAGCAACAGAGTTATCTTCCACAGCTGACTGTGTGTTTATGCTACTCAGAAATGCAGGTTTCAATCTTGTATGGGATGTTCGACTAGAGAAAGGTGCTGTTAGACTATCATGCACATTTTCAAAGGCTGGGAAAAACATCTCACACATTATCTAGTCAATTAGAGAGAAAAAAAAAGAAAAGGTAATAATTACAACATAGATGTTTATGTTTATGTGAACACAGAGCCACAAACTTCACTGTTTCTAGATGCCAAGAAGCTTGCAACATCCAAGACATCCTGCACTCCCCAATGCCCATGGGAAACCTGGATGGCAGCGCCCACCACAACCACAGTCACATTCCAAGGTGCTCTTCTGGTGCCCATCTCCCTTACCAAAGGATCCTGCTCCCCAACAGCAACAAGGGCAGCAGTTTGTTGCATCCTTCTCCTGATCCTACCCATCTCCATTTTGACCCTGCCTCCAGAACTCTTCAGATCATGCTTTCCCATCAAAGCCAGTTAACAAAGATGTGTTTAAACATTCCTTGTGTTCTTCATCCATCTCCTCCATCCTCAAGCAGATTTAACCCCCAGCTTAAAGCCTGCTCCTCTTCTCACCAGTCCACACCAAGCATCTTGCCAAATCCTCATCTCATTTTTATAAAAAGCTGCCTGTGTGGATGGTTACAGAGAACCTGATGATGGGCTGTTAGCACTTAATATGTCTGACTTCCCATAAGGAACAAAATGCTACAAAGACTGCAGGATTTTTCCAGCACAGGGCAGCACGCAGCTTCCTCTCCTCAATCCTCTGCCACTTCCCACATAAAAGTCATTTTTTGGTGGGTCCTAAAATTAGCAGCCTCAAGCCTACGCAGTGGAATTCACAAATATATAATCCCTCCAGCTGAGGCATCAACCAAAACCAAGAGGTGCCTCACAAAGCATGATGCTAAAAAGGTTTATTGGATAACCTCCTGAATCAAACTATCCTTTGGGTGTTTACTATCACCTGAAATACCATGAATTTTACTTGGTTGTGGGATTAAAAGCAGCACAACGGCCAAATAGTTAGTAAATACATTTTATACCTTTTGGGCTTCTTTCTTCATTGAGCTCCATTCAGGATTTAAGGCAACACAATAAAGAAATTCCTTCAATGCTTCCTCAGTCCTTTCCAATCCAGAAAGAGCTTTTGCTTTCACATAATGGCCCTGTTCACACAAAGGAAACGTACAAATCTAGAGATCATTTCTGAAGTGGCAGCAATACACCTGAAAACAAACCTGAAAGTCCAAGTCATTCTGCAGGTGAAGAACAAGATGCTTTTCAGGTAACAACCTCTTTGACATGCGTGACTGAAAGAAATTCAGTACCTTCTGGTGAAAAAAGATTCCCCAGGAACCCTCTGCTGCATCATCCCTTGCCAAAGGCATTGCTCATTTCCCAAGAGAAGAGCTGGGAATAAGGAGGGATGTTTTTCCCCCCAGGGGCAAAGTCTACTACACATCCCACTGTGCTTGGATACACCAGAGAACAGTTTCACATACCAGGACAAGCTTAAAAAGTAAGACATCTGCACAGAAAAGGCAGTGGCACAGGGCAGACTGGCAGTGTCAACTGAGAGACTTCATAAGAGTCACTTCTCCTGAATGTTTTACTAGGACAGAGAGAACTTTTCACCTGTCTACTTTGGCCCAAAACCATCATGAGTTTAGGGCAATGTATCAATGCTTAACCTGAAGCATTTTAGCCCACCCTACCTCTCCCATGTGTTCTGGAGTAACACATCCATGGCCAACAGCTACGGTAGCCAGCTTGGGAACAAATCCTACTTTACTTGTTACTGGTACCAAGAGTGGAATGCTTCACCTCTGAACTTACCTGCAAGTATCAAACTACACTTCTAATTTGACTTCAGAAATTACTTCCTTTACAATGAAAAGAAACTAAGTGTGCATTTAAACATTTCCCCCTTGCTTATTAGACAGAAGTGTGCTCTACAAGTCCACCCCTGACCCATGTGAACATCTCTGGGCTGTACTGAAAGCACAGCTTCATGCATCTAAGAGACTGGCTAGATGAGCAGATCCACTTTTCTTGCTTCATAATAATGTTGAAAGATCCAGTATCACACAATCTTCCTCAGCAGGTAACTCCCTCATTCTTTCAATACTGCTGTCCAAGCTGAGACCTGTTAAGATCTTTACCATCCCACTGGAATTGGAAGAAGGAAGCTTATGCCAAAAGCAAGCAGCAAGCACTGCATAGGCCAGGTTAATTAACACAATTATCATTTGGTGACCTGCACAAGAATTTACCAATTATCATTTGGTGACCTGTACACATCAATTCTCTCCAGGAGAGGTACATTTTTCTTTTCCTCAATGTAGTAAGAAAAGATACTGTGAGGCCTGACCCTGACCTTCTTGCCTGGATGCCTGCACAGCCTCCATATAACCTTTTACACACCTGCCATCACTGCCAGCATTACTGCACTGCACTGGGGAGCCTACAAGCTTGTTTGGACTTGTCCTTCAAGGCTGTAAGAGCAATGGCCTTATTTGACCTGCAAGGGAGGATTGAGGTGGGCTGTCCACAGACAAAGTACCTAAAGATCCAACACCAGAAGTTAGGCCCAGGGACCAGAGGCCCCTATACTTCAGAGACTACCACTGCCACCTTTCCCTTTCCTATTTTCATATACCCCTGACAAGCATCAGACTGAAAGGGAGATGCAAGCAGGACCATGAGTAGCAGACAGGAGGGCAGGTCTGTCTGCCTCTAAATAAAAACACAACTGGAAAACTCTCCCTGCCCTACAGAGTCTTGGTTTTCATAGCAACTGAAAAAGAACCAACTTATCTATAGCTCCAATGACTACTGCATACCAAGGAGTTTCACCAGTAACTCAGCAAGCCACTACATCTGTTACCAATAAGCCAAAAGATACTGGTAGGTGAACACTTGCATCCTAGGAGCTACTCCCAGAATTGAGTTTAATTTTATGTTAGGTTTGGTTTTTTTAACTACACAGCTCATGTTTGAGCTAATCTCTGCTACTGGATGAGATGCTGCAATACACAAAACAAAGCAGATGCCCAGAACTCCTGGAGAACATGGATTCTGGGTCAGCACAGCTTATGCTGATGTCCTCACAAACATGAAAGCACAAGTGAAGTACGTCTGAGACACTGCTGGTTACGCCATGATGACAAATTTCATTTTCAATTACATTCTTCAGAGATGTGATTAATGAAACCTTTATCCGCCTACGACTGACACACATCACATTTCCATGGATTCAGGCTAACAGAAGACACTTCAAGAAAATATCTGAATGTACATTATTAATTTTTCTCCCTCTGCACAGAAACCCAGCCAGCATCAACCATGATGGGATTCCTGACTTGATGAGAAATTATCCAAGACAGAGAAGCAAACTGGATGCAAGGGAAGATTATGAACTGCCTTGCAACATGAAAGCACAGATAGCCTTCAGAGAAAATTACCTAACTTGCCAGAGACTTGGTGTTTCAGACAGCACCTCTCTGCCTGCTCTGTATTAGCCCTGACTGGGAATAGAGCACTAGATGCATAGTCCTGCCTGCTCAGGCAGGAGGCTCCTTAGTCTCCACAGAAGACAATTTCTGCCTAAAATCCTTCCCCAATTCCCCACGCTATGCTCTCCCCACTGCTCAAACCTGTGCTGCAGTTTTGCTGCTGACAGGAGAGAGACTGACTGCAGGTGTAATCCTAGGTGGGGTGAACTGTTGGACACTCAGTCCAGCCTCAAGCAACCAGTAGTAGTGAGGGGCACCACGTGCTTCTTCCATTTCTCCCTCCTAACATCATTTCTGATACTTGCTTCAAACTGCCCACTGCTCCTTGTAGCACATGCTTTGGTTATGAAAAAAATCCCAACCCCTCTATGAAACACCATGACACAGATAGACAGCACAGATATGAAATCTTAGGATTGAAGAGGGAAAGAAAATAATCCTGAAATACAGTGCAGGTGGCTTCTCAGAAACACACACTGGCCAGCAGGCTGTCATAGTCACCCATTTCCTGGGGACACATCCATCCCAGAGGGACCTGCAAGGCCATCCTGGGCTGATGGAGCCTTATAGACTGATTCTCCTGCCAAGCTGCAGCACAAGCTGTTACAGATAATAGGCACCATGACCAAAACCACACCACCAGCTGCCCACCACCAAAATCCCACCAGCCGGGGAGATTCTGAGGAGCTTCCAGACTTATTCTTTGAAGAACTTAAGATGTTTTTGGCCCTGTTGATGCCACAATGCTCTTTCAACACCACGCCCAGCACAGAGAGAACTCCGAGAAGAAGCAGTTTTCATTTTGGTCTTTACAAAGGGCAAGCACCGTACCGCAGGCCAGTGGGGTTTGCTCCGGCACAGGATGTCCGCGTCGTGAAGAGCTTGCTGGTAGTTCTTCATCAGCGTACAGAGCTCTGCCCGCTGTGCTATCAATGAACACTTGCAAGGAGCTGGAAAACAAAAACAGTTGCAAGGAACTTCATTAAAAGAAGTACCAGGACATGTTAAATACTATAACCTCATATCCAGCCACAGTAACAAAAAAAGTCACTGCTTTCCACCCACTGCATTTATACTCTCCTGTAATGGAAAAAAGGCAATTCCTTCATTCTTTCCTGCTTAAAATATATTCTTCTCACTCTGAAGCAATCGCTGTGTTTTATCTAACAGGACATATTTCATATCCACAAACAGGATGCCACTGCTTATTTACCCGTCTTGCTTACAGGGCACTTCAGAAAGCAAAAAGAAAAAAGCTGCAAATGTTTCTACTCTCAGTTTGGAGAAAGAAATCACCAGAGCAGACCTTCAGCTAAAACGTTACCAGAAGCCATTAAATAACAAAAATGCATGCAGCCTTTACACTTCATATCCACTTGCCTTCCCCAGGGCAAGCAAACCTCTCATGATCACACACCTTGCCTCCACAAATTTATGAATTATTCAGTTCACATGGATTATAAAGTTCCCAAGCATTATTAATCTGTCCTTTCTTAAGGTCTCTAGAACACATGTTAATTTCACAGAAACACTGGTGATCCATGTTCAGCCTGTCTACCAGGACCTTCAAGCTCTTCTGCAGATCTGCTGTCTAGTCCAGCCCATCCTGTTGCACAGAGTTATTGTGTCCCAGGTGTACTTCCTTTGCAGAAGTAGGCACCGCTGGTCAGCTCATACCCCAGGCTGTTGGTTTGATGACAGCCCTGCCCTTCAACACATGAATCGCTTCTTCCTCTCCCAGTTTGGTGTCACTGACAATGTGCTCTTGCCTGTGATGGAAGCTGTTAGTGAGGTGCTGAACTGTGTCAACCCCATTACCAACAACACCCGGACAACGCCACTGGCAGCCATCTGCCCAGCAGCTCCCAAGCCACAAGGGACCACCTCATGCCCATGGTCCAGTCAATTCTCCACCTCCCTGCCACGTCCCCAGCTTGGCAAGGACACTGCAGCAGGCTGTGGCAGCATCCTTGCAAAACACACACTAAATCCCAAATAATGCTCTGCTTTTGTTCACTAGAACAGATATGTCATCATAGGTGATGAGATTTATGAGAGATTTACTCTTGGTCACTGGTGACCTTCATGTACTGGGAGAGGCCTCTGGAAGGCTGGAAGGGGCTGCTGGCAGCTAAGTGCAGTAATCCTTTCCCAAAGGTGAGCTGGTTAAAACTGTCAGAACTGGTAACAATCTTTAAAAAGGCTTCAAGGTGTGCTGAAAGACAGTACCACGTTTCTGTAACTTTTAAACTTCACATCCAAACTAGCTCACATCTAAACTTTTCCAACAAATATCCCCTTATGCGTGTTCACACACAAGGCTCCTGTCTCCATACTCTCTTCAGCCTGCTTTGGCTTCCCTGTTTGGATCTCACTTCAGCACCAGCATCCTAAACACACCCTCAGTAAGAACACATCACCCATACACAGCCCAGGTACAAGCACATATGCATGGACACAGAGCAAGCACAACTGCTGCAGGTGCCACCACTCTTTAAGTTCAAGGACCTACAAGGAGGGATGGCCCAAGATCACATCCCTCTCCCACCTCCTCCCCTCTCTTGGGCTGATGCAGAACCAGAGCAAAGAATCAATTAACTGGAAGTTAATTCAACAGCAACAAATAAATAGAAAGGTTGAAGAGGATCAGTTTCCCCTCAACTAGTTCACTGTCCAGCCACACAAACTTGAGTGCCAGGACACGGGATGAGAAGGAAAGAAGCAGCAAGGAGCGCTGCCTTTTTTGGCTGTAGCGTGGACTGCCGCCAGATACACTAACTGCAGCATGGCATACCCTGGCTGATGCTTCTCCAACTGCTCTCAGACAGTGACAGCTAGAGACTACACTTAAAGAGCTCTGCAAAAGCTCACAAGGTGGGGTTCTGTGCTGGTTTCTGCTTGTGTGGTTTTATGGTGGTTTGTTGTGGTTTTTTTTTAACTATTACACAGGCAGACTGCTGCATGCAGTGATCCACATTTCTACCTGACAGTTTTTAAAAAGACTTCAAGTTAAATGAAACTGAAAAGCAATTAACCTAAGATCTTCAAGTAAGCTTTTTGTTCCTTTTAGTAAATGCTCAAATACAAAATTATTTAGCTGCATTTGAACAGTAAGGAATTAATACTATATTTCCATCTTTGTAACTGCTCTAGGGTACCCAGCTGCAGGGTATGCTGAGGTGGGTAGAAGCAGCAAGCAGAGTTAGGCACCTCCATAGGAAAGCAGTGTGCAGGGTAGGGTATTTCTGGCATGACAGGGAAAAGGAAGCAGTGTGAGATTAGGGGACAAAGCAAGTCAGCTGGCTGCTTCTATTCACTACTGCACATTTTAACCACACTGATGCTTTCCAGCACTCTTCAGTGCCAACAGACCCAGAGAGAGAACAGGTTCATCAACTCTTTTTCAGGAACTTATCTTCACTGCAAGAGTTTTAAGCAAAAAAAAAAAAAAAAAAAGCCACTGCAGAGCACAACAGTGTGGGAAGAGCAGCAGATCCTCCTGAAGCACAGTCTAAAGGGTCTCACACAAAGGGAAAATAAGCCAACCTGGAGGCAAGCCAGAAAAGCTACGTGTATTCAGGGCTAGCACCTCTCGTTCCCTGAGACTCAGTCAGCAAGCAAAAGGTGTGGCCCATCTTAATGAGTAACTGGCAGGGAATGTTTAGTTAACTGAGAGAAAGGATAAAAAAACCCAACAAATCCAACAACTTTGCTAAAGACAACAGTATTTATGAGGCTATAGTGTAACAAGTCTTCTATAGGGAGAGGAACCTCTAGACTAGATGCCATAGCATCTAGTCTAGAGTGGTGCCTAGCCACCTCCACTGAGGCTCACCTCACTCACAGAGCAAGCAGTGCAGCCTGAAATCTTGCTGGCTCTACACCCAACCCATGCATCCCTAGTTCCCAGCCTCCTGCTATCAGCAGGACTGTCCCAAGAGGGTCTGCATCCCATCAGGGCAAAGCCAGATGGACTGAAACCTCATTCTTTGTCCAACTCAAGGCTCACATGGAAGTGGGATGAAAAAGTGTATACCCACCCACAGCCTAAATAACTACAGGGTTTCTACAGAGCACCATGATATTGAGTTGTTCCATGCCACAGCAAATGCTGTGGTGAAAATAATAAGTCACAGAAGGTGGAAGGAGAGGGCTTGAGGATGTACAGAGTTTGTGAAAGCTGCTGGATGCCAGCATACAAGTATGCCAGTGTTCAAGACCATGCTCAGCAACGCCTTGAGCAACTCAATCCAGTTGCCTAGCGAAAAGTGTCCCAGCCTATGGGACTAGATGATCTTTAAGGTCCCTTCCAACTCCTAACATTTTGATTCTACGCTATAAGAACTGTCAAGTTTATTTTTTTCAATTAAAAAGCAAATGAGCAAAGAATCAAACAAAAGACAAAACAAAAACAAGCAAAACCCACAAACAAACAAAACAAACCCGAAGAAACAACCCTAAAATAAAAAGCTGCACAATAGTTAAAAATTTGTTTTAAAATAATGCAACCTTTTGCTCTTTTGGAGATAAAGAGCAGAGAAAAAGAAGATTTATTTTATGAAATGGCTCATTATTTCAGGCCATATTAAAAAAGAAAAGCATAGAAAATTTTACTGTTTCCACAATACCAGCAGATGGCATTTTGTGAATCCATCTCCTCCTGGGAATCTACAGCTGCACAGCAAAATTTATGTCCTTGTCAGCATCAGGGATGCAGTACTGAGGCTCCCATGATCTGCGGCTCCGGGCAGCTGGAACACAGGGACTTCCTCCAAGACACAAGTCTTGGAAGTCTTCCCAAGCATCTCCCTTCCCCCCAGCCATAATTTCACTGTAACAGACAAAACCCTAGCCCATACAGGGCCCAGAGCAGAGGAATGTTTGGGTCTTTGCCTCCTGGACTCTCCTATGGACCACCAAATATTGCCTACCCTGAGTGTGGTTGTCAGCTTGGATTTCTTCAAAATCATTAATTTTCCTCTCACACCATGTTTGTGTGTTTGCTCATCTGCACATTTTTTATACTATGTTACAGAAGCTATCACCCAGAATTACTTTTCTAGATATGCCCAAGAATTCAAGTTTTGTAAAAAACTATTCTGCTGAGTTCGGGAGGCTGGTAGGAGAACAGGGCTCCCCAAAATCTCCTTGTGCCTGGAAGGCAGTTAGAGGAATTATGAGAATTTGCCCAACTGACCATAGATGATGATAGAAGTTTTACTGTAATAAACTACAGTTTATTCTTCCAGGAACTCAGAACAGAAAGAACAAGTTCAAGAACTCTCTAACTCTCCTTATCTGATAATTCTTCCTAGAAAATTGCATCTTCTTCAAACCTATTTCAATACTAAGCATATTTCCTGAAGGCATGAACAGAACTGAAAGTGTCATCACAAAAACCTTTCAGTATTGCTTGTAAGAGTCAGCCTGCACAGTATTTCAGTAGAAACTTCTCTCACATTTTAAAGAAATTTCTGCCCTGGAGAGAGAAAGAAAATTGGCTTGTTTTGCTACATCATGCATTTAATTCTGAACAATTCAGTATTGAAAGCCTTTTAATAAGCTTGAAAAATAATATGAAATATATTTTTTTTTCAGTGAGAAATTAGCAAGTTTTAGTAATTAACTGAATAGCAAATTAGCTTTTCACCTCCAACTTCATGTAAGCATGACAAGACCACACACAAAAAATGGATGCACAGGATTGTTTGGTAGGGAAAGAGGGGGTGGCAAAGAGAAAGGTGCAGTTTAGATAAAATAATTAGCAGAAGTAGTAAAGACATTCAGGACTTTAAAATAAAACTTCATTTCACAACAAAGATGAAAACCAGCTTCCCAAACCTGATTAAGAGGGACAATGACTATGACCACCTACTTGCAATCAGCAAACCCATATTTTCTAAATCATCAGTCCACCTTAATTGGATTAACAACTGGACTTTGAAAGGTA